TTGTATTGTTTAACTGCTGCCCGTTTGTTGATAGCTCAAAATTGGAAGAGTCAAGTTTTACCTACAATAGAGGACTGGAGAGTGAAGGTTTCGCATCTTGCTGAAATGGCAAAGATCTCGGCTTATTTGAAGGATCACTCAAATGAACAATTTTTATCAATATGGAGAAGATGGATTGTTTATATTCAAAATAAGCATAAAATAGTGGAATATAGGTTAGGTTTTTAGATAAAAAAAAATTTTTTTTTCTTCTTTCTATATATATACTTATATTTCACCTATTTATGTAGAATTATACTTTGTGGAGTTAGGGATATTAATATAAGGTTACCTTTAGATGAATAGTATCCTGGGATTAGGTTTGGGAAGTCCGGGTGGGGGGTGGGGAGGGGTTTTTTTTCAATTGTGATGTACTTGTGTTTGCTTTTTTCTTATGTTGAAAATAATAAAAAAAATTTGAGGAAAAAAAAAAAAAGATTCTGGAATAATTTCATGTAGTTGTTTATTGTTTTAAATATTTTGCTTATTTTGTATTTTAGTATCTGGATTTTTTTAGATTTAAATAATTTGCAAAATTGCTGAAATAGGTTCAAAGAAAAAATAAGTTGCAACATTGGGAAAGAATAAGAGGTTTGCCTTACTTACAGAGCAATGTTAGCATTGGAATTTAAACAGTGGAACTGTCGAATAAGTCAGGATGAATAAATCAGTGAAAATGTAAAAGCAGGTGAAGAGAAGAAAAGTTAAAGATTATTTATTAACTAGAGAAGAAGTTAAATTTAAAACTGATATTTTTAAGACAGACTGGCAAAAAAAAATCAAGAAAAACAAAGCAAATATGTTTATTTATTAAATTTATATTTTCCTTTTCTCCAGGGGTTGAAGGCAACATACATAGCACAACATTATTTCCTCCAAATTTTCCCAAAGCCTTCCATGACTCTGAGAATACTTGAACTTGTGCTTTTCTGATTCTAAATCTAAACTTTGCATTTATTTTATATTCTGCTTTATCCTCTCTTTTTTTTCTGCATAAAGGGTGATTGGTCTGTCAGTGCTATAAAGGAATTCCGAAGGCTGTGTGAGCTAAAATTGCTGGTGGGACTGGTAGATGAATATATAAATGATGTCCTTTACCTCTTCCTTTGTGATACCAGTTCCGAAGATGACGTCTACTTGCACAATGTTTTGAAATTAGAGGGTCATGCTCTCATTTGTAGGGAGAACATTCCTTCCAAGGTAAAAGGAAGACAAGTTATGATGGGGTGGGGCTACAATGCTGAATTATGGCAAGTAATTCTCAAACTGGCTTGAGCTGGACTGAAAAGAAAAAAAATGAATCAGGAAGATCATAAGGGAACTGACATTGTTTCAAAGAAATCCATATTGGAAATAATTCTTACAATTTTTAAAGCAATATAATCATACAAAAAAAGCTGAACATGGATCAATTATCTCTCTACTTAAAAAAAAGTTTTGAAAAGTAACCTGGGTATAAAGAAATAGGTTCCCTAAAATTACCTTTAAAACAACTCAATTTTCTAATCAAACTACAAATCAAAAATCGGTAATAGGCAAGCCAGCCTATCGATGGGTTGGCATCATATCTAATTAACAAATTAGAGTTCTGGTTGTAACTCTACCTTCAGGTACAGGTAGCATTATATAAATAGCACTGAAGTCATCAAACTGAGCTGTAAGAGAACAGCAAATGAAAACAAGTAATGTTTCATCCTGTGACCTTGTGTGCTAAACCAGATAAAAATCACAACCAGATGAGCTAATTCTACTTTATGGTAAAGCCACTTTGACAGAACCATGCAAGTCAGAAAATGCAGTCCTCCTCTCCCCCGTTTCTTTTACAGCAGAAGAAACAGCAGAGTCTCTCTTCTGAGCCCCTTGCCCCAGCTACTATACTTGTGGGCTATACTGTTTCTTATGTGACCATTCCCTTGCAGCCTCTCTTTGCCCAATGTCCCAAGGTCTTTCCCACGTAGCATTAACCATCCAGGGTTGCAGCTTGTTTCTAAGGCCAGACTGGAAGTTATTAAGTATTTCTTTATTTTTACTTTAACAGGGCTTCAGAGAGTTAAATCCTTTTACGCTATATATGAAACCAAACCCAAACCAGCTGGCTGATTTCACAGAAGCAGACACTTCATTGCTTCAGCAGGACTTTCTTGTAAACTTCCCAGCAACAAATTCAGAGACTTGCAATAATGTAATAGTTTCACAGGTGGGAAAATCTGAGTGTCTGGTTACTGCTCTTCGTGTATTTTACTCTGTTCCTGTAAAAATCACAGAAAACTGGGGAAGGGTTAGTTTCTCTTCTAAAATAGCATCTAGTAACTATGGTTGTATGGTTGGGTGAATCCCAAAAATATTGTGTTGAGGCAGATTGGTGCTCTAAAGTCAGAAACAAACAACTTTTCTTGATGCCCTGCATTGTGTACTGCAGTGCTTGACAATCTCTTAGCATCGATCCGACTTCCTTCATGAGCTGTCCTTCTATTTTTAAATTAAAATGAGTGTTTGCATGATGCAAATCAGAGCACCAGCCTCCAACATTACCTCTGTTCCTAATAGTTATTCTGGACCCAGCTTCAGACTAAGAGGCATTAGAAAATGAAAATAATGGGTTGCCGCAATCCAATGTTTTGTTTAGATGTATATTCACTTGCCTAGAGAAAAAACAAGTAGTATGGAGTATCCTTCTAGTTTATTTTCTTGTAAATGGGTGTTTTGTGGCTGCCCAAACCAACTATAGCACTCATTTGCAGATGGGAAAGCCCACCCCACAGCAGGGGACTTCACTGTCCTTCAGATAATATTCCAATGCCCCTTTTTCTTCTTCAACTGTCTGGTGTACTAACAATATTCTACACCCACAGAATTTCCTTGGTAAGTAGATTTTATCAACATCACTGCATGGATGAAGTGTCATTATTTTACTGGTCTCCCTATCCAGAGCTTTCAGTATTATTATTATTATTATTATTATTATTATTATTATTATTATTATTATTATTATTATTATTATTATTATTATTCATATTACTACTGAGGGAATGAGATAATCTTACATAAATATTTCTTCATAATGTTTAAAATATTTCTTTGTCAATCAAATGTTAATGTGTCTACTGAGACATTTTCAGTGTTTTTCTTTTTAAAACAATGAATGTGAAATTACATAATCAGATATATCAGTGGGATTAGGAAATGAAGCATACATAAAAAAGACTTTAAGATGGTTTCAACTACAGTATTTAGCATTTTCTATTTATACACTGAAAAGGTAGTAAATAGAAAAGTCCATGAATAAAATATTGCAAAGTCGCTGATAAAAGTTAAAGATGAATATGTGAGAGTATTTATTCAGCAAATTTCATCCATATTCATTTTGAAATGTTGAAAATGTTTTAGTGTCTTAAATCATTGGACACTTATATTATAAAGTTGATGCAAGTAGTCCTCACCTACTGACCGTAATTGGAATCAGCAACTCTGTCCTGTGACTGTGCCAATTTATGACCTTAGTTCCAGCTGTGTCCATTAAGTGAATCACCCATGGTTGTTAAGCATGCTGTCACATGATGATGATTGGTAACTTCCTGTTGGCTTCCCCATTAACTTTGCTTGTTGGAAGCCGGCTGTGCAGGTCACAAATGATGATCGTGTGATTGTGGAGTGTTGTGACTAGCGTAAATATGTATTGGTTGCCAAGCACCTAAATGTCAATCACATGACTATGGAAGTGCTGTGATGGTTGCAACTTTAAAAATCGCTCATAATCTCCTTTTTCAGTACCTTTGTAACTTTGAGTGATTGCTGAACAAGCAGTCGGTAAGCAAGGACTCCCTGTACAGTGTAGGAGTTGAACAAAATGGCTACAAGTGATTGGATTACTTTTAATAAATGGAATTTTGTGCGGGATTTCCTAATGAACAAATTCTCTAAAATTCTGTACTTGAAATTAAATATATAATTAAAATGACAATATTGTAAACATTTTCTAGCATACAGCAAGCCAATCCTTAGATCCTGAAATACCATACCTGGAGCCAGTGTATTTATGCCAAGAAATTTGGGATGAGAACTGGTTGCCTTCAATATATCATGAAGAAAAGAAAAATAAGGATACTTCTGATAATTTAAATTCTGATATTATGGTAGTTTCTGACCAGACTTCAGGTGATGAAGGCAACAAAAATGAGATCCAACACAACCAAGGTTTGATTCAAAAGGTAGATTTTGTTATTGGTTTTTAGTGTTACTAATCCAAAGTTTGAAATGAGATGCAGTGCTGTCACTCACAAAGATTCAGAGTTTGTAGTATATAGATTTTTTTTAAAAACAACAACCCCATAATCTATCTGAATCCATAAACTTTAAATTGGTGCAAATACAGATTGAAACTAAAAAGGGTAAAATACAAAATGACTAAAAATAGCAATAAAAATAGACTGGAAAATCATTACAAGCCAGCAAGCGTACCACATGGAGCAGAATACCAAAATATTTTGGAAAACTTAAGGCTATGATTTAAATGCCTGCTTTAAAATGCTTTCAGTTTGTACTTAGGAACAGTACATGTATTCCCCAATTTACAACCGTAATTGAGCCCAGAATTACTGTCATAAATTGTGCCAGTTGCTAAGCCAGTCATCATGATCAACCCAATTTTATAACATTTTTGTAGTGGTCATTAAACTCAGTGGTCATAAAGCAAACACTGCGTCTGTTAAGCAAACCCATTGTCTACAAAGTAAATGCAGGTTTCTGGCAAAAATTCATTGTGAATTGGATCACATGACTCTGGGAAGCTGTAAATGACAGGCCCTTTGTTGCCCAAAATGTGATCACATGACTTGCCCAGCTGTCAGAACTTTGAATCTGGTTCATTAGTATCTTTTGGGGGTGACGGATGTCCGCCATAACTTCAGTCACTAAGCAACCAATTGTAAGTAAAGATCTAGTTGTATTTCATAACATGAATGCCACTATTAAAAAACCTTAATATCCTAAAAGCTCTGTTCAAATAACAGATGCTAAGGTCTCACAGAGCAGTATGCAAGCTCGGAAAGAAGCAGATATTTAGCTACATTGTCCAAACTTTATTTCCCAGATTGGATAGGACACAGACATGAATGTTTTCACATAATATCAGAACTTTAATGCTGCTGCAATCTGCTGATATGGTAGTGGGCTATCAAACTCCCTTTTTTTTTTTTAAGGACCCTTCAGCAGTTAGCAGTGCCTATCTGATTGTGTCTGCGGTTAGAAGGGTCAGGCCTGGAGAGTACTTAGACTGGGTTTAAATTAGGCTAGATTGGGATGCCAGAATCATCTAAGAAGAAAGCAAAGGCAAACTATTTCTACTGTTGTGTTGTCAAGAAGACTGCACAGATATATCCATGAAATCCCCAGAAATTGATCTGGACTTGAAGGAGACATTGCTTATCTTCAAAGATAACCCCATGTTGAATCCCATGAAATAATCAAGATTTGGACGCTATGGAGAAATTGATCTGACTGCTGAGAACATAGTCAAAAGTAGTAAAAAGAAATCTTAATCATTGATGACCTCTGATCCAAACAGCAACTGTGTTCAAAGGAGTATCATAGCCTACCAGTTGGATTTGCCTAATGGGATGAAATCTTGTTCAAAACAAGTGTCACCTCAATCCCAGGTATTTTGGTATTCTGCTCATCCCTAAATTGAAGTAAATGTAAATTTCCAGAAACTTAACCCTCCTCTAATACCATTTTCCTATTTGGAAAAAAAATGAAGTTCAAAAGAATGAAATCCCTTTTTTAAAGCTCTACTAAATTCACTTTGCCAGTTGGGAAACCTAAAATGCATGATGGTATAACTTGCTTTTCTCACAAGAGCATCACGTTTGGTGTATTAATAGATTTAAGAGTGTTTGAGGAGTGACTTGTGACAAAAGCAGACTGACAAGCATTTATATAGTTAAAGTTTTAATTACTCTTACCTTCAGTAAGGAATACAAAGCTTTACAGATATGTTCTTCTTACAAACAAGTTATGATCCCAAAAGGTTGTTTGTAAGTCCATTTTGTTCACAAGCATTAAAAAGATACACAGTACATGTCTGTGAAGATTTTCAGTCATCCAGGTCATAGTTGTCTCAAAGGTGCTTTTTCAAAAGGCAACTGGACTGTTTCTTCCTTGAGGAGGAAGAAGACATTTTGCTTCTCATTCAAAAAACGTCATCCATTCTGACAGGATGTGGGGGTGGGGGTGGTTGGAAGAATCATATTTCTTTTCAGTCATCTGGTCTTCCTCACTCAAGGAAAAAACAGTCCAGGTGTGTGTATATGTATGTAAAAATATACCGTATTTTTCCATCTATAAGACGCACCCTTGTATAAAACGCTCTAGCATGCGAGTTTCTCCGCGTCGATCAGCTGTTCGGCGCAGCGTCGAACAGCTGAGCCGGCAAATCCGGAATTTCGGCCTGCCGACGATCTTGCCCCCTCCCCCCTCCCGTTAGTGGCAAGCCCACAGGGGCTTGACACCTGCACCAAGCGGCATGGCAACCCACACAGGCATGCCCTGGGCTGCGGAGGTTACCATTATTTTTCCTTGTATAAGACGCACCTGATTTTTGAACAGGGTGTTTGCAGGAAAAAATAGCATCTTATGCACAGAAAAATACGGTATATATCGTTTCAGCAACAAGAATAAAATAAAAAACAGAAAAAAATACATCCAACACTAACAACAACAAAAAAAGAAATAAAAAAATTGTGTACAAAACAGAAAAAAAGATCCAAATATCAAATAAATTTAACATTAAACATATAGAATCCGCCCCAGCTGGATGCTGAGGGGAAAAAAAGAAAAACTGATAATTTTTCTTCCCCTTTACATAATGGGTCTGCAAATAGTTATAAGCTTTCCCACCCTATTTAACAAAAATACTATATTAAAGTTTACTACTAAAAAGTTTGTGAATAATGTCTGTATCTCTTTTATATTGCTTTTGTAAATTTCACAGCTTCCAGAAGAGTTCTCTCAACACCAAAACATTTCAATTGATTTCTATTTTCTTGACTAAAAAATGCAAATAACTGTTCTGTTTAAATCTATTTAACTAAGTAGATTGCTACCCTCACTGCTGCTACCATAGTGCTTTGAGCCCCAGGCAATTCAATATGTAAATTGTTTTCCTCTGTTCTCTCCCCACCATTCTGGTCCTTTTGTCATCGCTTTAAAGGTTGGATCTCCCTCCAAGACTTAAGGGGTGGAGGAAGTTCATTTTCTCCTTGTAATAAATGAAATTCCTTTTTGGCAGAACAGGGATGCATCCAGTGCCATTGAGACAGCAGATCATACAAATCTGGGACCCCCAAATGAAATTCTGAGCTCGAGAGCAGAAATAAAGGTAATTTGATTTGTACTGTTTCTATTTAGGAGAAATGTTTTTATTAGACTGGACAGTTGTATGTTCTATAGCAATTCCAAAAGAAGAAAATATAAATAGCTCAGGGCTGAACTTTGGAGTCCTTGGTACTTTCTGAGCTTGTTTGCTTACGGACATTTCATTATCCAACTAGGTAACTATACTCCACAGTCTATAGTGATTGTTATAAGATATGCAAAATATAGGTGTATTGTTAGACTTTTCAGATCTTCGCCACATTTGCCATTCCAAAGTTATGTGACCGTCACCTGTGCCATATGAAGCCTATGCTTCAGATGTTTTTTTTAATTGTAACAATGTCAATCAAATGGATATCCTGTGTTTTAAAGCAGGTTTCTTTTTTCACTTGACTGCAGGTAGAATCCTCTGTTGGAGATATACCTGATTCTTCGTCACAAACGTTAGAAGAGTTTTATGTTTCCATCATTCATTCCAAGAAATCAGAAAAGCTGAGTCAAAATGAATCAGATGTAAACAAATCGTCTGCTTGCCATTCCCAACTTCTTCCATCAACATCTGTGTTGCATGGTATATATATATGCATTGGTCTTCTATTGATGCTAACTTTGCTGTTACTATAGTATTAGTAAATTTGTTGCCAAAATGTCATAGCCTTTTAAAATGGACTTGTAGCTAAGCTGATATTACAAAATCAGATTCAGTAGAGATTACAAAATCATCAACTTTTGAACCATAGAAGGTCTCTGTTGAATCCTAAATTCTGAGATACCAGGATTGGTGGTTAACCAGAATAGTATGGGACATACTGATTCTGAAAGGGTTAACATTTAAGGAAAAATATAGGGGAGCTATGGGTGAAAAATAGGGAAATATTGACTATTGATTTGCACAGAAATTCTATTGGCCTTCATGCTTCAGATAAGAAATCATCATGCAGTCTAGACGGATTTCCTTTAGGGACATGAGAGCAGCTTCCTCTTCTCAGTTAGCACTTCCTGTTCATGATGAAAATTGGGTTTTGTTGATTTTATATGACTTCATATTTGTTTAATCAAAAGTAAAATTAGGATGATTTAAGGAGAAGATGTGGGAAAGCAGAACCTATGCTTACATTGTAGAAATGTGAACTAGTTAAAGTAAGATTGGTCAGGACAAAACAGTTGGATCCAGGCACTATAACAAATAACTTCTGATCACTTTTTCTTCTCTTTACTATGTAGAAAGAGCTGCTTCAGAAAACACGGTTAATGATGCTCCTGGAACTCAAACAGTTTCGGTATATAATGCTAATCATTACTTTGAACCTTGTGCCATTGGTCACAATGCCTTAGTCTTTACTGCTGAGCTTCAGAGCTCTCCAAAATTCTGTGTTCCATGCAGTCCAACTGTTGCCTTGGGAGCATCTGCACGATTAGCTGCCTCTGGTGGATATTTCTCCCTTAACTTTAGGAAGATGAAGATATCACAAAAGTCAGCATGAAAGATTTTCAAGAGACTTTAATGTTCATCTAGTTAACTGGACAGTAGCTAAAAAAAATCTTATAATTTGAGCCTATAGGATATTATAATTTAAAGCCCAAGTGAAATTTAGGCAACATGCCATGACTTTTTCCCATATATTGCTTTTCCTGTTGTATACTACTGTTAACATTTCTACTTTTGAATATAATGGTTTTGCAAATAATCAGTGAACTGTCTTATTTAAGTTGTATGCATAATTTTGTGGGCTGGCAGAGTCATTGAGAGTTAAGGACAGCAAATACAACAATGTCAAATCACAGCTGCCAATTCTTTAACCTGCATTGGCATTCATACGCATTAAGTTCTTGCCAACCTAGGATATTGCAATGTTTAAGTGTAGCATGTGTGCGGGTATGAGTAGTGAGGGACCAGCCTTAGTAATAACCATGCAGTGTTATTCGTTTTTGGTTTTTTTTTGTATATGGAGTTTTCTGGGAAAGAGCTTAAATTAATACGGACATTGTATTTTGTCTTCTCAGCATTTCTAATGACTCACGTTAAAATATTCAGTCTCAATATTTTCCTGCACATGTGCAATGTGAGTGGGAGTGAGTTGTTTATATATCATTAACTGCTGACTGTTTCTAATGAAATTTCTAATGGAGTCCCTCTTTGAAGGCAGTCTAGAAATGAGAAATATATAAATAAATGAACTGTGCACATGTTGCAGCACCTTTCTCATACATAGGCAGCAAGTGCTATTGGGGTGTGTGTATTTTATCCTTCTAAAAATAACTATCAATAAAATACAAATAAAATATGAGTTTATGATTTAAATATGAAAAGATATTGACTAGAAACACTATAAAAATAATAGCGCCTACCCGACTAAAACCTACTTCAATAGACGTCAGCTTTAGAGATCAAAAAGCTGCCTGAAAAAATAATGAGTATTTGCACAACACACTAAGTCATAACATAATTAGACTTTTCAGTGTCCAAGTTCACTCCAGGTCTAAAATTGCTGTTAATACAGAAAATATTAATCAAATCTGGAACCATGCCTGATGGTAATTCATTCTTGGGGGCCAAATTAATTTCCCTCCTTTGGCTTCCAGCCATAGGCCAAGGAATTGTCCCTGTCCAAGATTTTCAGTTCTCATTAATGAAAATTTTAAACAGTACAGTAATGGGTTTAAGGAGTGAACCATTTTCACTTCTCACTTGGTTTTTCCCTCCAGTTTTTGTTTACTATGGTTTTCAAGCCAGGCACAGATCTATCTGTAATCAACAAGCTATTCAGTTTATACTTAAATTATATGTACTGTATCTCATTCCAACAGTCTACTGAATGACCATGTTTGTCATCCCAACAATTGTGGGAAAATATAGAAATTGTGCTAATCTTACTTGATGAATAATTGTCAGAGGCTGGAAAAAAGCAAACAACATTCCAGGAAGGTTAGATAAGAAGAAGCCTAAACAGATTTATGTGGAGCGAACCAGTTGTTGTTATTATCCACTTGTTTTTCTTTATTGATTTTATTCAGGTCACTTTTTTGTTTTATTACATGTTTTGGTTTTATGAATGATTGCAGAGAGGTTAGGTTTTCCACCATGAGCCTTTGTGATGAGTAATTTGTCAGTATACGATAAATAAATATTTCAAATAGCCTGGTCCCAAATTTATTGGACATTTGTTTTCACCACTTTGAATGCTACAAACATCTAGTGAAACTATTGCATCAGTTTCTCCCCCAGCCATATATTGTGATTTTTGACATTTTTTTGACCTAGAAAAAAACCTGAAATAATATTGAGGTGTTACAATACTTCCATATTTGCAGTGTAATTCTGTGGTTTCCCTTGCTTGGGATCATGCTATTAAATGCAGCCCCTTTTCAGTTATAGGACTGAAAAAGGGATGCATTTTATAGGAAAAATTTTCAGGATTGAAAAGGGGCTGCATTTTATAGGGAATTATATTCTGTCAATGTAATATCAGGCATTGGTAGGCGTCACTAATCATGCATAAATACGTGGATATCGTGCTGTATTTGTACGTTTAAGCAGAGTACAGCAATTGTTTTAGGGAAATAGTGCCAGGTTGAATCCAAAAGAAGCCTTAACATCTATTAGGTTGCAGCACTGAAAGGTAGCTGGTTGCTTCCCCTGTCTTTCATTGCCTCTGAAGTGACAACTCATCTGCAAATTACAGTATAGGGTGCTACATTTTAAAAGGTTTAATAAGATTGCATCTTGTATTTCAAACAGAAAGGCTTTCCCATTTTTATTATTTTTCTTCTCTAAATGATATCAGCTCAGAAAAGGCTTCTAAGCAGACTTTCCGTTGCTCTGGTCCAAAGCTTTTGTTCCACTTTTTGGTCATTAGATGGTGCTCAATTACAGGACATTTTCTTACTGAAGTCATCCTTGGACCTGGTTCTTTTTTTGGTTTGAAACGAAGCAGCGAAAGGTTTTAAACAAAAAAAGAGAAGTCCAATTATGTCTCAACTTCCAGACAACTCTACCTGGATAACTGAAAATTGTCATCGACAAAATGTCATTCTTGCACAGTTATTTTAAGATTTCTGAAATACCGTATGCAGGTAGTCCTTGACTTAGGACCACAAATGAGCCCAAAATTTCCACTGCTAAACAAGACAGTTATTCAGTGAGTTTTGCCCCATTTTACAACCTTTCTTGCCACACTTAAGTGAATCAACGAATCAATGAAGTTAAGTCAGTAACATGGCCATTAAATGAATCTGTTTTCTCTGTTGATTTTCTTGTCAGGTCACAAAAGGTGATCACATGACTCCTGGACACTGCAACAGTCGTAAATACATGCCAGTTGCCAAGCATCCAAATTTTGATCACGTGACCATGGGGATGCTGCAATGGCCATTAGTGTGAAAAATGGTCCTGTCATTTTTTTCAGTGCTGCTGTAACTTCAAATGATCACTAAATGAATGGTTGTACCATAAGTCAAGGACTACATATATACTAAAATATTTAGCCTTAAAAATTGAATTTAAGGTAGAGTAATATCAGCAGACTGATATTCCATTAACCAAGAAATTTGGGAATTGTGTCTATATTTGCACAAACAATGGGCGATGTGGTTTTTTTGTGATATAAGTTTCTAAGATTTACTCACCCAGGTTTTGGGGTTTGTTTGTTAGTTTTTTGCTATATAAGCTGATACTTACAAAAACAGCTTCAGACTTTTAAAAAAATATGTATGTTTTATCCTCTTTGCATGGACCAGAGATTAGATTGGCCGCAATCCTGTTAGCCTTCTGTAAGGTCTTAAGATGTGGCTCTGTTACCAGGGCTGGGAGACAGAAGGTGGGACTGAGCCTGTGTTTTGGCTTAGCTAATTGTGATTGATTGTTTGTTTTTACCTTGGCTGCTGTTGCTTTGCTTTCTGGGTTTTTTTTTTAAATGCTTTTTAGAGTTTAGCACTGTTAGCCACCCAGAAACATGAACTTGAGATGGGCAGCCGTGTAAATGGAAATCAATGGAAATAATACATACATACATAGATACATACCTGATCCAAATGATTTAAAACAAAACTTGTAGAATTTGTTGTCACTGGATGTCTATGGAGATTCTCAGTCATCCAGGTCATGGTTGCCCCAAAGGTGCTTTTTTTCAAAAGGCAACTGGACTTTGTTTTTCCTTGAAGACATTTCGCTTCTCATCCAAGAAGCTTCTTCAGTTCTGACACTGGATATTCTGCAGATCATCCTTTTTTTTTTATTGAAAAGTTTTATAACAGTTACAATATAAACCCCAAAACCAACCCCCCCTCTTCCTCCCCCACTTCCCAGAGCTGGATACAGGGTTTCAAATATAATAATGATAATCTAACTAACATTAACCAACTATATAAATAACCAAATCCATAATGCGCTTTAACTCCCTTTAGCATAAATATAAACAAATTAAAAATAAACATAATAAAAACATAAACATAAATTAATATCCTAATTATTAAACAATACAATATCCAAATTATTAAACCATACTAATACTAAAATAATAATAATATCATATAATTGAAACTAATAAAAATTCTACTATAATAATAATACTCTAAAATTTACTCATAAGCTAAATGGAACTTTTTAGTCCCATATTTATTCTGAATATAATCTATCCATCTTCTCCAAACCGAAATGTATCTTTCTTGTGAATGATCCTTCAAATAAGCAGAGATCTCAGCCATTTCTGCTAAGTTTGACACTTTAAGCATCCATTCTTCTATAGTAGGCAAGCAATCCTTCTTCCAATATTGCCCTACCAATAACTTTGCAGCTGTTATCAAATTCAACATCAAATTAGTTTCTTTAGTATCACAATCTGTAATAACACCCAATAAAAATAATTGTGGAGTAAACTTTATCTTTCTCTTAAAAATCTTTTGAATGTTCCAGCCAAATCTTAATCCAAAAAGCTTTTATATTTCTACAAGTCCACCAGATATGGAAATAAGTAGCATCCAAACTACCACATCTCCAACATTTGGGCTGTAAATTAGGATACATACAAGACAACTTTTTGGGATCCAGATGCCATCTAAAAAACATTTTGTAAAAATTTTCTCTTAAATTTTGGGGCTGAGTAAATTTTACATTCCTAACCCAAATTACCTCCCATATATCCAATGGAATCGGTTCTTGAATATTTTGGGCCCACTTTACCATACAATCTTTAACTAATTCCATTTCCGAATCCAATTCTATTAAAGCATTATAAATTCTCTTTATATGCGCTCAATTTTGATCTTTAATCTATTTTACCAAATTCTCCTCCATTAATGTAATACCAACCTTTTGATCTAACTTCCACCTAACCAACAATTGAGTATATTGAAACCAAGACTGTACAATATTTTCTTGCTTTAACTCAGCTAACGATTTTAATTGCCAATCATTCCCTACCAATTTAAGTAATTTGTTATAAGAAATCCTATCCAAATTCACACCCATAGATACCCCCTCTATCGCGTGTCCAGGAATCCCCCAAATTTAACTTATGATAATATTTTTTCCAGACACGCAATAAAGCATTTCTTAAAATATGAGATTTAAAAACCTTGTCAACTTTTTTATTATAAATTAGGTATGCATGCCACCCGTATAAGTCCCATCCTTCAAGATGAAGTATACTCTTATTTGTTAAATTAAGCCAATCACTAACCAGTGTTAAAACCACCACATCATAGTATAATTTCAAATTAGGCGCTTTAAGTCCTCCTCTTTCCTGTGCGTCTTGTAAGATCTTAAATTTAATCCTTGGTTTTTTCCCCGCCCAGATAAATTTATTAATACTCTTCTGCCATTCATCCAAGTTGGCATCTTTTTTCAAAATAGGTATCATTTGAAACAAGAAGAGAAACTTTGGTAGAACATTCATTTTAACAGCTGCAATGCAGATCATCCTTAAAGTTGCAGTGATCCTTATAAATGGTTCAATAAAAATGGTAGATCTTTATTCATGTGTAATAAAACTGTTACAAACAGCATGTCGCTTTGGAAAAAAACAATCTATTGAAGAATAAAGAGACCTAAAACAAGATGGATCGATGACATCAGCAAGTATTGCAGGCACAATTGGCAAAAGAAAGCCAATTGATTGGAAACATGTGGAAGAGGACTTCATCCTGCAGTGGATAGACAATGGCTATAATGATGAGGATGGTTGAAGAATAATGGAACACTAAATAATGATATCTGATCCCCGTGCAGTGCAGATATGTGAGAAAACTAAGCTCCCAGCATAGTGAACTGAAGATCCTACTATAGGTGAAATGGTGTCAGGCAGATTTAGGTCACAGTGCAGTATGTTCATAGGCTGAAAACTACTGCTTAGTTAATTGCATCATTTTCAATATGTCACTTGCATGTGTGCAGAAGGGGATTTCATTTGGACAATTCCTTCCTCATCTAGTTTGATGATAGCTCCTAGCTGACAATTGCTGATGAGCAGCAGCCAAAAAAGTTAATGCAATCCTTGGCTGCATAAACAGGGATAGAGTCAAAATCATGTGAAGTATTAATACCACTATATAAAGCCTTAGTAAGACCACAGGGAACACTGCATCCAGTTTTGGTTACCACATTATAAAAAAGATTTGAGACTTTGGAAAGAGTTCAGAGAAGAGCAACTAAGATGATTAAAAGCATGGAGACTAAAACATAAAGAATGGTTGCAGGGATTGGGTATGGCTAGTCTGGAGAAGAGAAGGACTAGGGGTGACATAACAGTGTTCCAATATTTGGGGGGCTGCCACAAAAAAGGGGGTCAACCTATTTTCCAAAGGACCAGAAGGCAGGACAAGAAGTAATGGATGGAAACTAATCAAGGAGAGAAGCAATCTAGAACTAAGAAGAAACTTCCTAACAGAACAATTACAGAAGTGGAATGGCTTGCTTTCAGAAGTTGTAGGTGCTTCATCACTGGAGGTTTCTAAGAAGAGACTGGACAGCCACTTGCTAAAAAAAGACAGTGGCAAACCATTTCAGGATTGTTGCCTAGAAAAAATGCAAAGGTATCTCCATTGTCTCAGTTTGGCCATGTCATGCGGGGGAATTTATTGGAGACAGCAATTAAGTTTGGAAGAGTTAGTGGCAAAA